GTGCGCATGCGCACGCAGGGAACAGGCTCCAGCTGTTCGTCTGCCTCACTGATGTCTGACTCTGAAGGCAGCTGATAACTGGCATACGGCCCTGGCCCCCTCTCTGCCTCCAACACAGAGCCCTCATCAGAGCCTTCTCCAGACTCCAGGATGGGCCCATTTTCCTCCCCAACCTCCTCACTGTCTGAATCTGCCGCCAGATCCGCTGGACGCTGGTGGGCCACAAGATGGTGCAACACAGAAAAATAACAATAATGTTGCTTGCATCAATGTTTCCTTGATTTATTCTGCCTTACCTGAGGTGAGAGTTGGCGAGTCAGATGGGGACAGGGTGGAATTCTCAACGTTTTCACTGCTCTCCCCAAATTCCTTCTTGTAAATAGACAGCATGTAGGATATCCGGTAGTCAAGGCGGACACTAAGAATAAACTGTACGACACAAACTTTTGAGTCTCTTTTTTTCAGCAGGACCTAAAGATCATTTGCGTATAAAGTCAAAAGTTGCTACTCTGGCATTAAAATATATTTAATAATGAATCCAAGTCACCCAATACAAGATATCATGCGTAGCTCAGACTTGAAATGGGGAGTCCTTGGTGCTCTCTGAGTTCGGTTGATTATTATTATTATTTTTTGCAAATGTTTCATTACCCAACTAGGTAACATCATCAGATCACACTCCCAGCAACATTAGCAGGGCAAACCACTAGTCTATAAACAGAGGGGACAAACTCCACTGCCTTCTGGCACTGATGATGTTACCAAAATGGGGCATGGGATGTCTGCAAGAAAGCAAGGACCTCAACATATTGGTCATTTCAAAAATCCACCCTGTTCATCCTTGAAGGTTTGAAAAATAGCCATTGTTTCCAGCACTAAAAACCAAAATGGAGTTAAGTCAACTCATCTGTTGGGTAGTTTAAAAAAAAACTGGGCATAGGAATTCTGATTTTGCATTTAATCAGCTCCAGAAAATCCCCCTAACTCGCAAAGAAGAAGAAGGAAAAAAGAGAATACAAAACTTGTTTTTCCTTTTTTTCTACTGAAGGCAAAGATGACCGAAAGGTGAAGTAAGCTACATTTTCTTTAGTCCTTGTCTCAGGAAGTAAGGAATAGGACAGATGGTTATTACCTGCAAAATCTCGATAATTTTTAACTTGGTATCCATCACCGTGACATCCTCACTTTCCATCAAGTTGGCTTGTTTGCTTCGGTGGACGCTGGGCAGAATATCAGGTGAAGAGGCAGGAAAGATGGAGCCTCTGCTGAGGACCATTTGAGTCATCATCTCCCCAACACCGTGGATCGTCCTCATGACGTTGTTTCCTGGAAATAAGAAAGACAACAACTCTTGTCAGGCAACAGAGAGGCTGAGAGTCACGAGGTTGACTGGGTGCGAAAGTTAAGTTCCCGTGAATTGAACTAAGATTCTGGTGAGATCAAGGAATCGACATTGATGAGAAGGTGATAAGGAAAATATCAGAATGTGCAGAAATGAACAGACTAACATTAGCAATTAAGGAGAAAGAGCAAACTGAATATTATATGATTTGGGAAGTATTTTAGCAATGGTTGGAGAGAGAAAAAGGAGTTTGGAAATGAAGAAAGCTAAAAAAATAAGTAGACAATACACTTTGATAAAGATATAAAACTGTTAGTAGGTGTAAGATGAGAATAGTAAAGTTTACTGTTGATATATTATTACTAGAAGGTAGTAAGAAGAAAAATGGAGAGTTTTATAACCTTTAAATGCTCAATATATTATAATACTAAACTTAGGGAAAGAATGTTAATATGAATGTGAAATGCGTGGCAAAAGAGGAAGGATGTTGCACAGAGATGCTTGTACCCAGATGACACATTTCATAAGAAAAGAGAGAATGTTTATTTTTGTGATTGAAAAATAATAAAACTGTTAAAAAATAAATAAAAGGAATCAATATCCATTCAGTTTTCGTAATGAATGTGTGAATGACCTAGAGGAAAGAGGAGAAGAGATGACGGGTAGGAAACAATTGGAGAAGAGAAGTTGGAGCCCTCGGTCGCTCAACAGCCAGAGGGAAAAAAAACTAAGGAAGGACCCACCTTAATGGATGAATCAGTTAAAAATGGTTTCTACCAGGGCTCTCAAACTACGGCCCACTTTTTCCATAAAAAAGTGTTTAAAAAGATATATAACTGCTCCATCAGCTCTATAGTAGGAATGTTATACTGCTTTCTATCCCTGTTAGAAAGGGGAAATTTCTGTTTTCCAGTTCTTCATCTCAGCTTCCATCAACAATTGCCATTTTAGTGCCAAACGTAGTAGAATATTGTAATTTACTAACATCAAGAAAGCCTCCAGTATCCCAACGTCTCCTGACTTGCTTCTTGATATTCTTTTAAATATGTTCTGTATCACTGAATAATGGCCATAATCAAGGTATATCCCCTGTGAGGTATATAATCTTAATTAATAAATTGTTAAGTCTATTGGCCATAATCAAGGTATATCCCCTGTGAGGTAAATATATTGTCTTAATTAATAAATTGTTAAGTCTATTTAACTGAATAATGGCCATAATCAAGGTATAATCCTCTATGAGGTAAATATATTATCTTAATTAATAAATTGTTATCTCTGTATCACTGAATAATAGTCATATTAAGGTATATCCTCTATGAGGTAAATATATTATCTTAATTAATAAATTGTTATCTCTGTATCACTGAATAATAGTCATATTAAGGTATATCCTCTATGAGGTAAATATATTATCTTAATTAATAAATTGTTATCTCTGTATCACTGAATAATAGTCATATTAAGGTATATCCTCTATGAGGTAAATATATTATCTTAATTAATAAATTGTTATCTCTGTATCACTG